AACTCTGGCGTTAGACAGACAGGCTCGAATTTTAGTTTTTCCACTTACTGACTGTATGACCTTGGGAAAGTTACTTAATCATTGTGTGCCTCAGTTTCTACACCTGTAAAGTGGAGATCATAACACTATAGCTTCACAGATACTGTGGTGACTAAATTAGATTAAATGCATATGTAAAGAGCTCAAGCTAGTTGCCTGCACATAGTAAGCACTTACGTTTTATTATTATTTTTATCCTAGAAACATACCCATAGCACGTGCGTAGGTCGCTGTGAAGAACAAGATCACAGCGGCGCGTGCGAAAACAGCTGTCGCGAAATGTGACTTCTTATTTCCCACTCTGGCTGCCTAATGACCTGTCCCCGGCTCTTTTAAACCCTCTGAATCGACGCTGTCTTCTCATCCAGTTGCGAATGCTCTTTCGGTGTGTGTTTCTGATATTAATCTACTGCTGTATTTTTGATGATAAAGTTGCAAATCATCCAGACTGAGCTAATGGGTCATGTGGAGGGCACACTTGCTATTTGAGGTTCACTAGAAATGTCTTTAATAACATTAGAAAACCTGGCTAATTATTTTTTAAGAGGATAAGAGCCATGAATATATTTCATCTGCTTAATGTTTCCCACTGTGAGAGTCTTGCTAAGGTTCTAGAGGCCAAGATCTCAACGTCGGTTAAATAGGCGGCTGCATTTTCTCCTGCTTAGTATTACGGAATGGAATCTTAAGTATGAAAGATGTCTTGTGCAGTATGTCAAAATGTTGAGCAATATCGTTTCAATCTAAACACAGAAATGAAAAAAGAGCAGATGATTTCCTTTTTGCTGTAATTCACTTTGGGATGTATGTCACGAAGAGCACTATACAAAAGCAATTTTCATTGATTGACTGACTGATTGAGGAAAAGGGTGAATGTTCTTTCAGCTTATGTCCCTCCTGAAGTATGATTCTTATAGCTCCTGACAGCTCTTCACAATTTGTAGTTAAATGCCAGGTTAGCGCAAAAAGGGAGGGGGAGAAGGGAGGAAGATCATAATTAAAACGTTTTTGGGTTTTTGGAATTAGAACCTAATGTTCTAATTCTTCCATTCCTTGTTATTTAGATTTTACAGACCGTGATTGCTGAAAATACCCTGCTGATAGGTTGAGTGCAGAATCTAATCCGTAATACGGACAATCACGTAGTTCTTGTTCTACTGCTGTGGGGTGTGCTGTTCTTCCTAGAGCAATTACTTTTACTTGAAATTCTGACTTAGAGACGCATTTGGCATCAGTGTCCTGTTCTCAGAAACTGAAAAAGAATCAGTCGCATCTCTGAAATGCCCCACAATTCTATAAAACTCACTCCTTCACGTACCTGATTTGGGCAAATCTTTCGCCCTGCGATATAACTCAATGAATGCCTTTCTATGGGTTGTAGATGCAAATACTTTCTTAGCATGACCAGTGGTAAAACTGAAAACTTTCACCTAGGAGTTCCAGTTTTCCAATTTCTGTCGCAGATCGGCGCCTAATCACTTACTACTGGCCTGTTCTTACAATTTTAGTGTGTCTTTCTAATGACATAAAAACACACGGGGAATTTTTTTTCTTAATATATGTAAAACCAGGTTTTCCTCAATTTTGTTAAGCCAAAACAATGCTGGTTAGACAATACTTCTTATGCGAAATAGATCCACTTAATTAGAATGCATCTTCAAATGGACTAAATTTAGTGCTTGCAAAGTTAGATTCGCTTGCAAAACAAGATAGATGGCTTATTTAGAGGATGTTTTTAAAGACCTTGAAGATCTAAAGCCACGTGGCAAGTAAAAGCAAACACATTGCCAGGTGAGAGGCACTTAAAATGTCTTTTCAGGCGGCTGCATACAAATGGAAAGGCCTATTAAGATACTAGAAAACCCTTTATTGGGTTCCTCCTCGTTTGCTAGGGAAGCTTCTGGAGGTAACTTCTGCATTTTGGAATTGACACTCCTCATGCAATTATGCTTCCGGCAATATAGATCCAGGTTGGGGGGAAAAACAATTCAAACTAGTAAATAATTGCAGTATCACTGCATCAGTTTAGTTTAAAGAGCTGACAACCCTCTCTAAACTCCAAGCACAATTAGTCATTAGGGTCTAGTTTTTCAGCGCTGTTAAGCAATTTGTAACCCATTCCTTTTAATAGGGTTAGGCATTACTTAAACCCACACAGATGCCTTGAAAACTGAAACCTCAGTTATGAAGCAGCAACCTTGTTCATTACCTCCTGTGATAGGCAAATCATCTATAAAAACAGCATTTAATGGGCAACCAATGAATAATCAATGGCTCACTTTTCATCTGAGTGTGAAAATGAGAATAATCTAATACAAAGTCCCCCTGGAAAGAGGCCCAATCTTGGGTTCTGTTGCTCTTCAGGGCTGATTTATAGGGTCTTGGAAAGCCGATGTAAACAGATGATCAATGGGACTCATCCTTGCTCATAATAACCCCCAACTGGCCCACTCCCTCTTTTCCAAGTCCATCCCTTCAGGCTATTAGCTCTGTCCAGCTAATTCTTCCCAGCGCTCCTGCCTGCTGCTTTTACTCCGGCCATCCGTTCAGTCCAGCCGACTCAGAAGTAATTTTATACGCAGCAGAGAGCGGGTGGAATTGATTTTTCACTCAGCGCTCAGTTCCCATCTGAATAATTATCAATTTTACTGCCTCATAAAGGGAAGAGTCAAAATTTCAAATCAATTCAAAAGAGCTTTTGAGACGACAGAAACTGTGCATAAGAATAGAGGTCAAAGTTGTCGGCGACCTGAGGAGATGATGTCAGATATTACTATGCCCAACAGTTGACATCAGAGGCACTCAAGATGATATGACCTAGTGCTAATGCAAATCATATTTATGCTGACTACCAGATACCAGTCATTAATATTTAAAATGCTATCTGAAAGCCTACATTCCAAATAAATAGAATGTATTCCACTGTTAATAAAGATATATCACTACTGAGTCATACGCTGTACAGTAAAGGGTTACTAAGTATTATTAACACACAGAAGTTACTTAAACCAATGAACCCATGGTAATTCCCAGGAAAGACAAACGTGACCGTCTCTTGCACAGCCGTATTACTTGCTCTGCATAGTCTGACAGTACTTGTCTAAGACCACACACAGCCTAATGATTTTCGGTAAATTTTCTACCCACTTAAAAGTTTCTGCCAAAGTTTACAGGACAATATTGTGATCAGGGCAGAGTGCTGGCAGGAGCGATCTGGTGGTGAACTTGTCGCCTGCCGTGGTGCGGTGCGAGGGTGAGTCTGATCTCTGGCCAGTCCGTGGGTATTTACTGTCTCCATTGGCTACGCGCTCTAAGTCTGTGATTCTCAACCTTCTCCTGCAGAACTCCTGAGGGCTATGACGTATCTCAAGATGACATCACTAGAGGCTCCTGGCAGGTCTAGTGGCTCCCGCAGTTGGGTGGGTGGGGTAGGGAAGGGGAGAGGCACAGCCAGATCCTGATAGAACGTGTATTCTGAAAAGGCATTCCAGGTGAATCTGAGACCTCAGCCCCGCCACACAGCTCCCTGAGAATCAGTGCTGTAAGTGGGGAGCACTTGGGCTTTTGAGCCACAGACCTTGGTTCCCATTCCACTTTCCACCTGATCTCTCTGCACCTCAAGTTATGCATCTGTAAAATGGGGATGATGACATCCACCTTTTGGGGCTGTTGTGGGGGTCAGGATGAGAAGACGTCTCTGAAAGTCCTCTTCGCCTGTGTCACTCTCTGTCATCCCTATATTGACCTAATTATCACATAATCGGTTAGTTACTTGTCTCTCTGTCCCAGCCGATGAAACTTCTTAAGGAGAGACATTGTGTCTTCTGGGTCTAAATCGCTCTTGCACCTTGTACGTAAAAGTCCTCAATAAATGCGAGTCACCTTCCTCCTCTCTTTCCTACATCACCACTACGTCGGAATAATTCCCAATAGTTAGAAGCCTGCGGCCCTTTGCCTGGTTATACAAAATCTTAACGACACACCCCTCCCCGCCAGGAAAATAACTAGTCGACCGGAACATCACCACAAGTAAAGTTTACCTAACTCCATTTAAATATTAGCAAAAAAGGCAGCCAGGAAGAAAACCGCTTCCACGGCTGTCTCATTCTATTTCAGCGTTTCTTTATCCAGAGTGACATTTTCTGTTGATTGCAGGCGACTTATATGCTGGTTAATGACCATGTTAAAGTTTTACATTAGCAAACCACAGACTATTAGGGAGATAATTTGGCAAAATAAAACAAATGGAAGCAGTATAAAGATATCATTTTCCAAATTTAGTGGAACTGGAAAATATCATAGTAATGGTATTTCCATAGAAAAATGGTATTACTCTGTGAAATACTTGTGGCACATATGTTTATTTTTATGCGTGCTGTTATGTTACCGTGATTCGCAGAAATGAGTTTTTTAAAACAATATTAAACTTGGACCTAACTCATATTAGCTAGCCAGAAACCCCATCTGACAAAGAAATCATGGCTTTATGACTTATTATTAAATGCTCTTGGGAATATGACCTGTCTGAACCTTGATTTCTCATCTTAAAATGGCAAAAATACCAACCGTGACGTGATGAACGGGAAGCCCTAGCCAGGTGCCAGGCAGGGACGAGGACCCCAGGAAATGGCAGTTTCCTGACCTCCTAGACTAGTCACAAGGCAAACTCAAGATGACATCACTAGAGGCTCCGGGGGAAAAAAAATCACCTTTCAGGTCTCCCAGGCCTCTGCAAGAGCCGTCTTCTTCTTGAATTCTAGTCTCCCCGAGGAGAGATGGAAGACCCGAGAGATTTCCCAGGGTGATCTAAGGCCGGCTACTCTGCTGCCTTCAGGAACATGCTCCAAGGGCATAACTGGTAAAGAATCTTGGCAATGCTAGTTGCTCTAAGAGATGTTCGGGGCCCGGGCTGGCTTTTGGGAAATGCTGTTTCTTAAGCCAGGTGACCGAGCACTAGTTACCTGCTGCAGGACATCTGGATTTTGCTGCATAAAATGTAACAGTCTCTGACCGGCCTGGGTAGCCTCCCGGGTCCGAAGTGGCTTCTTGCCCTCTTTTGCTATGTGCTTGAAGAGGTAGGTGACGATGTAGTCTAAGCTGGTACAGCAGCTGGAGGAGACAACCGTATCTGCACGAATGACAAATGAGAATTCATTTGCATCACTAAAGTGTTTGTTTCACCTGATCGATTACTGCGTCTTCGTCGCCATTAAAAACAAAATCACTTTCTGGTTTCAAACTATAAATTCCTTGAGGGCAGGGATTTTGCCTCGTTTATCTCTTTAAACTCAGTGTTTACTACAGGACCCGGCAGAGAGGCGTGTTAGGAGGTATATGATTCCTGGATAGGATTGGACAGAATTTTCCATTGGTGACCTTAGAGACCCTCTGTTCAATTCAAGTGACTTTATTAAGCATCTCCTCAGGTAAAGGGATCTGCTTCAGAGAAACTCCCACCCAGGTGTCAAGGAGCTCACGCGCTAGTACTAAGTCACTGTAACATACTGCTGGGTAAAGATGAGCGACACGCGGCTGTGAGGATTTTGAGGGAGAGGGCACATCCGGATGGGGGTCCGGGAGAGCTGGCGGAGGAGGGAGCACCTGAGATGGGTTTGGAAAAGTTCCAGCTAGACACAGAAAGGGCCTTTTTCAGGTAGAGAGATTAACGCCCTGTACCTAACGTGATGGAAAGGCATAGATTCTGGAGCCAGACAACTTCAGTTTCAAACCCCATCTTTTCCAATTACTTGCGTTGTTACTTTGAAAGAGGCACTTAACCTTTTTCATCATTTGAAAAATATCTTGCGGAGTTGAATCAGAAGAAAATAATTAGAAATTCTCATAATAAAAACAGCTGACATTTATTGAGAATTTACTGTTAGTTACATGGATTAACATTTTTAATCCTCTCAGCAACATGATAATAGTTACTATTATATCTCTGTTTACAGGCGAGGACGCTGAGAGATTAAGTGACTTGTCCAGTGCCACACAGCTAGATGACTGTGGAGCCATGATTGAAAGTAGACAAGGAGTTGGCTCTAGCTCTCTCCTCGTAACCACTAAAATTAAGTAGATATTAAGCAGAATTAGGAATTAAGGAAAAATATGTGTAAGCGTCAAGCACGTCCTTAAAACAAAACGGTCACTCAAAAGGGTCACTCCCTGTGTTCAGGGAGTAGGACTTTTTGGTCTGAGTGAAAGAATGAGTAGGGGAGTCACGAGAGCGAAAGCGGACACAGTAGGTTGGGGTCCTTCTGGAGAGCATCCGGCGGCAGGTTGAGACGTTTACATTTAATCTGAAAGGCAACAGAGGTGCTGTCGAAGATTTTTTTTTTTTAAGCAAGATTTTTTTTTCTAAGCGACATGACAGAAAAAGCATTTATTGACTATCTCCTTTATACACGAAAATGATCATGTCATATACTTCTAGAAACCACGTGGTATAAACAGGTGTTATTTGCATTTTTCAAATGAGAAAACCAAAGCTCAGAGATAAGTAGCTTGTCCGAAGTTCACGGTTTTGATTCCCAGCATGACGCTGTCTGGATTTTTTGGCTAATGGTGACGTATGGACACGATCCCGGGGAGTTTATGATTAGTAACGGAAACAGCAAAAGAAACAATTAAAATCTATGGGCAACAAAAAACGGCAAATATGTAGACTCGGAAGAGGAGAAGCAGGCTGGGAAGCAGCAGACTGCAAACTCCTAAGGCGGTTAGTTAGTTTCTTATTCATTTTATTCATCTCTGAGGCTCTGAGACACCTGTGCGCCTGTCATAGATTGGAGGTGAAATATTAGCTGGACTGATTAAAGAATGGGTAGGCAAAGCTAATCTGAGAAAGGTTTTTAAAGGTCTTGAGTTGTGTTTAGTGATGTAACACTGCGGTTTAAAAACTCTTTCACATACATTGTTTTAGAGAGAAACAACACAGTAAACAGAAAGAGATGGGTTTGGAGGCAAGTTTGAAATACAGACAGACGTATGCATTTGAAATAGAGGGTAACGGTGGCTGATGCAGGATCATAAGGGGTTGGATGAAAGTCTAAAAGATGGGCATAGACAAGTTTTGGAAAGCGATGACATTTGACTGATTGATTGATTAGTTAATTGTTTCTCTCTCCTGACTAACTGGGATACTTTGCAGAAGAGCGAGCACTGGTTTTATAGCCCTGAGCATAGACCCGAGTCAGGCACGGACTTGTCGAGCCTGGCTGCTTTTCTCTTTTCCTTCACGTTTCTACCTTGGACGTCCCAATCATGAAAGTAAATGGATTAAGTAACTTAACATCTACAAAAGGAAGCAAGCAGGAAATAGATATGGTTCCCCTCACCAGTGAAGAGCAATAGGCTATCAATCATACAAAAATTAGAAGGACTTCACATAGATTTGGTGACCACATGTCATGCAGGTTGCATTAAAAGGTCCCAATCTACTGAGTCAGCTATGAAAAAGCCAGGTAAACACTTTAGACACAAAGGTTGGCGCATACATCCTTGCAATAAAAGTGAGAGCTTCCATTATGGCTGATTTATGGTTGGGGGCTTTGAAAAGGATAAATGTTATTTCAGGGTAGATTGAAAAGTGTGGATTCATAAGGATCAAGGGGCGTTTGATCAAAAACAGAATAAACGGTGCTGAAGATGATGGTTTATTATTGGGTTTCTTTATTTGCAGCTCAATCTACTGTGAGATTCAAATAATGAAATACTTCTGACATTAAGGGACGAGCAGAAGTCATGAATTTCCATATTTAGTCCTAGTTTTTGGTGTTTAGAATCTTTTAAGAAGGATTTATCAATAATTGAGACAAATCTGGATAGAATTCTTAAGTTTATTAGGCACTTTGTCCTCCTCTCTAGCAACTTGTCATCTGGGTTGAAAAAAACCATTTTCTCCCTTCCTCCCATAATTGGTCTCCACAGGAAGCACACGCACCAAGAACGGCCCTCCTGTTCGCTATGCTCTGAAAAGTTACCTGCTGGAGAGAGTTGCTTAACTGAGAGTCAGAAGAAAGATAAGGCGGCTGAGCGGAAATGTGGCCGAATCAATTTTCTCACCATAGCAGAGGGGAGTAGGAAGGTCTTGGAAAAATAGGACGTGAAAGGCAATTTCGGAAATAAAAGGCCTATTTGGGTGGTGCAGTGATTTTGGAAATAAGTGGGCCTAGGTTTGAATCTATATTTTCTAGGTGTTTGACTTCATGGAGCTTCAATCTGCGATTCTGTAGTGTGCTCATACCGCCTACTTTGCAAGGCACTGTGAAAAATTAATGCGATAAAGTGCTTTGATGCAGCGGATTTTCCCTTTTTTACTTCTCATTGGTTTTCCTGGATACTTCAATCCCTTAGACACCAAGCCTGTCATTCTAGTTAGCTAATCCATAGTTTTCTTCTCTTTTTAGGATGTTTTTGGTTGGAGAAACTAACATGCAAGATCTCTAAGTTTCTAAAAATTTCTTGAATGTTTTACTCCCATATTACATTCATACAATTGTCTCCATCCAATTCGAGAACGTGGTCAAAATGACAACATGTTCTCTTTATTAATATTGACCATCATCTTTATAATGAACTTGATCGGTGGTTTCCAGTTGGTTGAACTTTTTGCCTGCCCTCACCCCACCTTGCTTCACCTCTCGTGCCATCCTTTACTTCCTGGAATACCTCTGTCCCTGCCAGGGCTGGCCTTCCGGGACCTTCCCTGATCACTTCTTCCAGAAAAGCCACAATTAATCATTCTTTATTCATTATCCCATTTTTCACAGAATAGAATGTATCATGACTTGACATTTTCTTGTGTGGTGTGTGTGCACATGTGTTGTGTTTATTGTTTATCTCTTCCCACTAGGATAGCAGGGACCTTATCAACCTTGCCAAGGTCTAGAATGATACTTGGTATATAATATGTGCAGTTATTACTTACCGAATGAATGAGTTGAGAGTTGCTTTTTGTAAGCCTTGTGCTTGGACTCTGTATGTATGGTGATGGTAGGTGGGTGAGTCAAAAAGATAGAAAATACATTCACTTTTCTCATTTCCTCCCATTATTGCTGGCCCAAAACTAAAAATGCTGATGAATGATGATTGACTAAAAAATTGTTAACAGCATGTTAAGCATATTAGGCAAGTCGCTACTCTAACACTGATTTGGCTTTTTTATAATTCCCTCTCACGCTTTCCGCTGAAGTCACAGTAGAACTGAAACCTACTTGTAACCCAACCAATACCTAGAAATGCATCTTTGCAAATTTATCATTGTTGGAAAAGGAGAAACCCAAGTGGTTACTTTCAACCTCTAAGTAGTCCTCTTTCTTGAAAACACGGGATACAATTCACCTGCCAACCTTATGCAATGGTTACAACGTCGACTTGCAACAATGTGAGAGACTGAAGATAAAATCAAGAACACAAGGAAAACCATCTCTACCAGGTATCTAGCTATCAAAACTGTGACCTGTATCAGGTAGATCTAGCAGGATGGAGAGGTGAAGAACAATGAGTTTTAGATTTAGAAAGACTCCCAGATCAGGCAGTTATTAGTTGTATGATCTTAGGCAAGCTGTTTCACCTCTCTGAGCCACAACTTACCATCCGTATAAGGAAAGTAATATTACCTAATTAATTCACTCAAATATTTAGATACAGATGGTGTAGTATAAAATTGTACACCCGAAACTTATATGATGTTATTAATCAAAGTTACTCCAATAAATTTAATTTAAAAAATAAATTAAATAAAAATTAAAGAAATATTTATTGAGCATTCATTACATGACAGGTACTGGGAATAAAGTGGTGTTTAAGACTGTTTCTGTCTTTCAGAAGCTTACAATCGAGTAGCAAATAAGGATAAACAGTGCTATCAGAATATCTAACCCAGTTTTGGTATGAGTGAAGTACACGCATGGAAACACCTGTGACAGCATCGGGCACAGAGTACGTGTCCACAGTCATACATTTAATAAGTGGCAGCACTGGGACTTAAGTCCAAGTTCAGTTTTCCTTCCATAATGTCAATTTGTCAAGACTCCCTAGAGAACCTTGTTAAAATGCAGATTCCAGGCCGAAGACCTCGCTTTGAGAACAACATAGTCGCCTGCGACTGATTCAAAATCTTCAAGT